CCTCGTTTCCCGGTCGATCGGCCGCCGCTCTGACGCGCGTCCTCCTCTTCGCCGAGGTCGGTCGGCAGGACCGAAACCGTGGCGAACGAAACGAAACGAAACGGCTCGCGGTGATATTGAAACGAGACGTGGCGATAGGAGGGCATGGGAGGGAGGGTGGGAATGGCTTTTCGAGTCCTCCCGGCCGGGTCGGCGTCTTGGATCCTCCGACGGAGGATTTCTTTCGCGTTACGACCGGAGGAATTCAACGAAGACCGCTGTGAGGTCTGGATCAGGTAATTGGCCGGCTTGCCTCGTGAACATCGAACCGAACGAGCAATCGAGCTCCGGCGCAACGGGCTCTCGACGAGCGGAGACCGCGAAATTTCAATCCCCGCGCGGGGAAAGCGGGCGAAATTTTTGCGCCCGTTGTTGTTTAACACCTTGCCGAGCAATTCGCAGCTGGACTTGCCAGGGTTTGGGACTGGTACCTTTAAACCGGTGATTTGAGAGGATGCTAAGGAGAGGGACTTGAGTTTGTTGCGGTGTGTTTTAAGAAAACATTGAAGTGTAGCGGTAAATTCGTGTGAAATGAATGAAACTATGTATAAAGGTTTTATATCTTTGTATAAAAATGGATTGTAGAGGAACGCCTGAAAAAATGAGTCAGTTGAGGATATGAAAGTTTTGCTAAACGGTGCCCCGTGAAAATTCGTAGTTTTAATTCGTATCGACCGGAAGCTTGGAATTTAAACGCGTGAAGAAGAAAAGAAAAAAGTGCAGAAGGAGGAGGAGCAGGAGGAGGAGATGGGTGGAGGAAACTGAGAAGAAAAAAGCGAAGCCCTGCACACCTTATTAAAGAGAACCTGAGAAGAGAAGGCCGGGCGTTGCGCGGTGAACTCCCGCGAGAAAAGCGAAGGAAAAAAGAAAAGCAGAAGCGGGGAGAAGGAAGGAAGCTCTCGGCTGGGTTTCAGAGCCTGTGTGCACCGCAAACTAACCGCGCACAGTTGCCTTATGTACGGAGTCTAAGTAATCCTCGAACCATCAGCTAACTTCTTAACCCTCAAAGTGAAAAGGGCCGCCTGCAGGCGAAGAAGAAGACGACGAAGTAGGAAAAGAGGAAGAAAGGAGGGACGTAGGGGTTTGGGGAGGCCCGCTTTGTCTCCCCGTTTGTTCACCGACTCGGTTCTTTCGCCGCGCGAGAGTTTCCGCGCGGAAAAGAAATCGTCGATGACTGGAGCCTGGCAAACCCTTTTGCTGCCGAGAGACTTGTTTGCCCTTCTGTACGATCAGTTGACCAAACAACTCGGTCAGGTCTTGGCTCGCGACGCGTGCACCGAGGAATTCTTCGGCAATCGTGGAATTCCTTTCTGCTGCCGTCATAAAGTCGATTCACCTCGAAGGCCAGCTCCTATTTTTCACATGCTTCTTTTTTAGCAACCAGCTATTGTTTGATGAGAATGAAAGGTGGTCCAATATTTTTTATTCGTTTCGGTAAATATTTGTTTCCGGGGAAGTGAAGGGAACGTTTGAGTAATATTCTTCGTAGAAAACTTATATGGAAAGATGTTCAATGTGTTCGATATGTTTGCTACCAGTGTCTCAAGTTTGTGGCAATCACCGCACCGTGTTCTGTGTATCGAAAGCCAAATACATTTCACTCCAAATATCATATCAAGTTTCTTTCCTGTATCGTCTTAACACTTCCCAAAATGAATGCATAACAATACTGTCGCTATTATCAAGTTATCAGATAATCGCGAAGACAATCATACCCAAT